CAGAAATTTGAAATTAATTAAAACAATAGATTTAAAAGCAAATTTAATTCATTTTTAGAATAGCAAACTTATAACTCATAAAAATAGAAACATTAGCGTAATTTCTGGATTAAAAGATAATGAAATATAAATTTAAAAGGATATCTACTAGTTAAGAAGTAGTGTTTCTAAATTAATAAAGATTAATGATGATGTATTTATGGCTGGGTTAGTGGATGGATCAATCTAATTGTTAAGTCTAAAGAATCCAGAATATTCCTAGGTTTTCAAAATCAACAAATTTTGATGTATTTTAGATTTGTGTTTGATTGCTAAGAAATCAAATGAGCATAATATAGCAATTGGTGGCTAAGAGAATGGTTTAGTTATCGTTAGACTTATTTAGAAGGGTAATTGCTAGTTTGAATTAATTTAAGATTAAAAAAGATTCATTGATAATATGTGGGTCAGCTCAATGATGCTATTAAGACCATTTATAATTGCATTCACTTGCATAGTTGGACATTCAAAATCTTATTTAAAGATATTTGACATTAAAAGAAAGTAATATATCGTAAATGTCAAATTGCCATCTATATCCTATCTGTATGGAATAGCAGGATATGACTATAACTATAATCCATTCGCTTTTATAAAAGATGATAATCAAGTATCACTCATCAATTTTAGAAATCAAAAGATAGTCAAGGTAGTTAACTCTGTATTTAGTCATTAAATCTATAAAAGTTAATGCTTTGCAAATAAATAATTGAAAAAGACAGATAGAAATAAGTTCATATTTTATGATGTTCAAAATATTGAGTTGGATAGTATCTAAAAATCAGAAATAAGAATGTTTAGTATTGAAATGCCTTGATTTGAAAATTACGTAAATTTTATGATTTTTTTTTGTGTGTTACAAATTGAATTAGATAAGATAATTATTATTATAACAAAAAATTATTTTAAATATTGTTCAAAAAATGCTAATTTTACTTCTTATGGGGTTTTGGGGTTTTGGGG